GCAGGCGGACTCTCAACCACTGCGCCACCAGGGAAGCCCTCATGATATATATTTTAATGGAATGAAACTTGAAGCCAATTACATTAAAATTACTAATGGCCTATAATTACTAACTTGATACCAACATGGAATTATTCATCAACACCATAGTAGCTACATGACTAGGCCTGATTGGCCTTCTGGTTAATAACTAGGTAAAACTTTTAAAATGTTAGTTGGGGCATACTCAAAGCAATAGGGCCACATATTGGATACCTAGGATATGGCATTTTCTTTTCCTCTTTAAAGGCCCTTAACTCCTCTTTCCAGTATGTCTGTGGTATAGACAGGGATCAGATCTTATGTTTCAGACTGACACTGAAGCAGTTTATACTTGCTGGACTGCGTTCACTCATGAGGAATTTATTGAATACGTACTATGCTTTCATTTATAAGATTCATACCTTTTCTCTCATTTTGCGGGGCTACTCTCTGTTTTTCTTTCCCAGGTGGGAGCTTGCAAGCTGCTATATCTGAAAATGCAAAGTCTGGCAATCATTTCCAAGAGTGCAAACTCAAAGACATCCTTCTACAGATTTCCCTTGGGCTTAAGTACATCCACAACTCTGGCATGGCACACCTGGACATCAAACCTAGTCAGTACAGCTCTCCTCTGGCCGTATTTAGTTCTTTCCCCACTGTTGTCAGAATCTGTGCCTGCGTGTCTATCAAGTGTCAAAGATGCTGTTTGCTGGCAGAATCCCTTTCATCAGTTCCCCTTTCCCCCTCCCCTGCCCAAATTTCAGTTAAAGAGCTTTAACCATTTCCCCCCGGGCCTAGAGGACAGAGAGTAAGGACTCCCAGATAGTGAAGCAAAAGTATGAAAATAAGTGTTTAATTTACTGCATAGATAAGTGACAGCATATTGGCTGCATCCTGACTTTTTACAGCTAGTGCTCTACTCTTTCTAACTCAGCCCTGATCGAAGTGAGCAGAAATGAATGGTTTAGGCACTCATTAATGTGAAATGTGAGGAAATGTTGTTACTATTCTGTGGTTTTGATTATTTCTTTGTTTTGAGGCCACCAGCCTCTTCAGAGGATGGAGTATGTTTGAGGTTTAAGTTTCACTGAAATAGGTATTATCAATCACTCAGCTGTTTCAGAAGTAGTGTGAGAGATTCCATGGAAGAAAAGAAACCTTGGTAGTCTTGTTACATGCACACAGAAAAGGAGGGTGACTGAAATGTTATTTACAGAAAAGAATCTCGGGTGAAAAAGTTTAGGATTCATTACTTAACGACAATTCTGTATTTTTTCAGGTAACATCTTCATATGTCATAAGATGCAAAGTGACTCTCCAGTAGTCCCAGAAGAGATTGAAAATGAAGCTGATTGGTTTCTCTCTGCCAATGTGATGTATAAAATTGGTGAGTCTGTCTTGTAACCTGATTGGTATACTATTATCCTATAAAATTTATGCTGATGACTCTACTCCATTTATTCCAGTTTTAAGAAAGACATGCTTTTAAAGCACTCTATTTCTTTTTTTCTTTTTTTAGGTGACTTGGGTCATGTGACATCAATAAGCAAGCCCAAAGTGGAAGAGGGAGATAGTCGCTTCCTGGCTAATGAGATTTTGCAAGAGGTATAGATTAGGGAAATGGAGGGTATTTTATAATCCATTGAACATTTTGAGTTTCAAATGAATGTTGACAGTGCAGGAAATGAAAAGTATATATTTATAATTTAAATTTATATTATCCTTTTTCTATCCAGAATGGAGACCAAAGATAGGAGAGAAACTTTTGCAAAAAAAGCGTGGGGAAAGCTGGCTCAAACATGGATTAATCAAAATTTTTACTGTTTTTCGTGAAGGTCCTTTCTACTTCTTAGAATTTTTAAATTTACGGATTTCCTAGTAGAAAGGAAGCTGTTATTGGTTGAACCCATCTTTATCATGCTACTATCCTTTTGATAGCACCTCCAGCTTTGGTCATTGGAATGACCTTCAGTTATTGCTCACCTTCTAAGATGTCTGTGAGTCTGGCCTAGGAAGGATATAACTTTCTACAGGATAAAAATCAGGGGGGAAAAAGAGGAGTCTTTCCTATCTGTGATCAGACAATCTATGCTTCAAGCCTCTTTGAGCCTGAGAGAGCAAAATGGCGCTGAGATTCTGCCTCAGACTCTTTGGGGCAGGGCAGTGCTAATCAAGTGGATTTGTGCCCTGAGATAGACCACTATCTTCCCTAGAGATAGACCACTAACCACAGCAGATATAACCTTGCCCACTGCGTCTGTTTAAGTTCATGTGCATTCAAATGAATCTCTCTTACCAGTTGTGTTTTAGTCTAGACTCCCTTCACTTGGCGAACTAACCGGCCTTCCTGTCTTCTGTTTTGAAGAATTATCAGCACCTTCCTAAAGCAGACATATTTGCCTTGGGATTGACCATTGCAGTGGCTGCGGGAGCAGAGTCATTACCTACCAATGGGGCTGCGTGGCATCACATCCGTGAGGGGAATCTTCCAGACATTCCTCAGGAGCTCTCCAAAGAATTTCACCAACTACTCAAGGTGGTGTCTCTAATGAAATGAAGAGAGGATGGAAATGTCTGTTTTTTAAAAAATGTAATGGCAAGTAGGTGGGAAAAGGGAAATGATGGTGCCATTGACAGCAGGGAAGCATGACTAGGAAGCCCAGAAAAACAGGACAGACTGAAAGGTTCTCTAGGAAACTTAGAGCATATCATGAAAACCTTTTGTTATAGTTTAAAACTCCTATTGTGTTTTTCATTTACCCTCCCTAATAACCCCGTGAGGTGGGCAGATGAGGAAACCAAGACTCAGAGCAGTTCCTTGACTTGTATTTCACTTTCAATAATTGATTGATTCCAGAATCAAACCTGCTCTTAGGCTCCTATGTCAGGGTTTTAACTACAGTCAATGGTAACAGTGATGTTACTCAAAAAACTGAATTTTGCTTGTATAGAGGAAATAGAAGTTACTTTATTGATGGATAACTGACAATCCCACCAGTTATTTGAGCAGAAGAAAGGCATAATGTTAATTTAGGAATCTATGTGTTCCTTGTCCTTAATGATACCTGAGTATGTGAAGGGACAAGGAAAAGAAGGTATTATGTTGAAACAAAGAGAGGTACAAGAATACCTACACTGTCAAGAAGCTAGAATTATACTAGAAAAGCAATGTATATGTAAGACTTACTTCATAGCTTAAGGAACAGGATTGGTTAGAATCCCTAAAATAGCCTTAGAAATATCTGTTCTCTTGGAGATTAAATTTGAGTTTCACAGTTTACCTGAACACTTCTGCTTTCCTGAAAGAAGGCAAACCTTTCCTCACAGTGGTCTTCTGTTCATAGTCTAATCACCTATTTCTATGTGTAAATTGCTCTTAGATTTAGTTGATTCTAACTGAGTACCTCACTGCTGTCCCTGTGCTAGGTAATATGCATATGTGAATTCATTTAATTCTCACAATAGCCCAGAAGGTGAATATCGCTATCCTAAATATAGGAAAGGGAGACTGAGTTTCAGCAAAGGTACGTGATTTGCTCAAGGCTACATAATAAGTGGTGGAGCTGGCTCTGAACGTTGCTCCCCAAATGGAAGGGTCAGTGTTTTCTTCATTATTCAACACTACTAATTTCCATATATTAGGTATCTTCAACTGTATTCCAGTCATTTTAGGCTATACGCATCCTCTACCTGAAGATAAATGCTGTAGGAATACTGTCATGGTGGGATATCCTTAATTAATTTTAAGTGAAAAATGAGCATGTTATGGTAGAAAGTGAGCTGAACTAGCAGTTGGGTAACCCAAGTTTTAGTCTTGGGCCTGTCAATAACTGAGACAAGCCACTTTCTATCTCAGGACCTCAGTTTCTTCCTGCTTAAAATTAAGGCAATTAAGCTGGTTCATCATTCATCCAGCTCTAAAATATGCTACTTAAGGACAACTCAAAGGTATGGATGGCTCATGCTACCAGATAAGGATGATATTCCTCTCCCAGGTGGAGCTAAGTTTTCATTTATTTCTTCCCTTTGCACAAAGGAGAAGCGAGTTTCACAAAATCCACCGGCAGAAGCTGGGTTGGAGTTGGCTTGGGGGGGAGATTTTTCTCAACAGTGAAGGTTCTATTTCCTCCTCTTTGGTCCTACCTCATCAGAACATGATCCACCCCGATCCAGCAGAGAGACCTTCTGCAGCAGCTCTGGCCAAAAGTCGAGTTCTCTGTCCCTCCCTGGGGAAAACAGAAGAGCTTCAGCAACAGTTGAACTTGGAAAAGTTCAAGACAGCCACACTGGAAAGGTAGATTTTGGATGCTGGAGTTGAGAAAGAATCTATTGATGTACTACTCATAGTGACATGACTGGTCTGATGTGTCTTCTCTATGGATTCGAGTGGAATCCAACAGTATGACACAGGGGCCCCTGCCCACAAGGAGGCTAGTAGCATGGGGCCCTTTGTAACAAGGGGCTGGATGCTCCGTGACTAGACGGCTTGAGAGAGAAAATTCCAGTCAATGCAAATGAATACAAGGAAATACAACTGGTAAAGAAAAATTAGCAGGATTCTGAGTGACCAGAGTTTTAAAGTAACTGGTGGATGATCACCTGATATAAGATAACCATAGTTAAAGAGGGAAGATATCTATTAGAAATCCATTAAATCTTGGGGGCAGGCAGATATTCTGTCTTGGCAAATGTTTAGAGAAAGAGGTATTTTTCCAAGCCAAAGGAAGCAGTCCTATTACTTACGCATGTAAGCTTGTATTCATGCATGCATTTATTTATTAACCTATTCCTTCATTTAACAAATTAATTAATTAAATAGGGTGGGCTTGGTATTATAAAGGTCAGGAAGTGGTGTTTGAGCACGGTTCTGAAGGCATTTTAAAGTAATTATTACATACTGTGAACTGTTGAAAACATAAAAGCAGATGAGAAATGGTCCTTGTCTAGAATAAACTTAGAGGTCCAGTTTCTTTTGGCTGCACAACCCATCTTAAAATGATTAGTTTGAAAAGTCCCCCAAATGATTTCGTGGCAATGAGTTGTGGAAGCTCTAACTGAGCCTTTAGTCAGGTAATCCTTCCTAATAAGCAACTCAATAATTTTTTGCTTTTTGAAATTGTCTAGACCAGGGGTTGGCATACTTTTCTGTAAGAACAAGATAGTATTTCACCCTTTGTGGGCCATATGATCTTAGCTGCAACGACTCAACTCTATTGGAGTGATGTGAAAGTGGCCATAGACCATATACAAATGAATGGGAATGGCTGAGTTCCAGTAAGACTTTATTTACAGAAACAGATGGCAGGCCAGATTTGACCCAAGGGCTGCGCTTCGCGGACCCCTGGAGCTTTCCTATATAGCCTCTAGAGTTGTTCTCTTATTTTTCTTTAATTTTAAAGACCATTTATGCCCCAATCAGTAGAATTCAGTAAGCCAAGCCTGCTGTGTGTTGAGGCATGTGTGAAGTAGCCATTTTTTAAGATAATCACAAGAGCCTAATTTTCTATTCCGTGTATAATTCAGTCTTGTTTCTATAAATACTGAAATAAAAAGAAAAATCTCTATCAGTTTTTTTTTCACTTTTTAGAAAATTTTTATTTTAATTTTTTTTAAACATCTTTATTGGAGTGTAATTACTTTACGATGGTGTGTTAGTTTCTGCTTTATAACAAAGTGAATCAGCTATACACATACATATATCCCCATATCTCCTCCCTCTTGCGTCTCCCTCCCTCCCACCCTCCCTATCCCACCCCTTTAGGTGGTCACAAAGCACCGAGCTGATCTCCCTGTGCTATGTGGCTGCTTCCCACTAGCTATCTATTTTACATTTGGTAGTGTATGTATGTCCATGCCACATCTATATCAGTTTTGATCATAAATATTATCTCTAATTTAGGACTAAGTAACGTACATTTTTCCTCTTTAATTCCAGGGAACTGAAAGAAGCCCAGCAGGCCCAGTCCCCCAAGGAATGCCACAGTGTCCCTGGGGTCTCTGGGACCCCCACGGGATCAAGAAGCACCAAACGCCTGGTGGGAGGAAAGAGTGCCAAGTCTTCAAGCTTCACCTGGGGGCAGTCTTCCCCATAAGAACTCCTTTCACACCAACTCACCTTTTATCCCCCAAATAGATACCGACTGTGTCAACCTTCCTCTTGTAAAGGGAGAAACTAACGGACTTGGGTGCCCAAAGATTTCAAAAGCCACTCCTAATTTAGCATTTTCAGCCAAGATCCTACAGCTATCAAGACTTCCTAGCAGCAATGGTCGTAGGTATTATCATTGGTAGCCATTTCTCTTCTCTCTTGCTACATTCCTAACACCACCTGTCAACAGTTCGTTCACTTCTCAGATTTGTTGGTGCGCAACGGGAAAGCATGGACCTCTGAACTGAAAGCAGCCCTTTGTGCAGCCTGTGGGCTATGAGGCTGCCTACCTACCTATCAAGGATCCCAGGGACTCTCCGGGCAAACAGAAAGGAATTCAATTTGGTTTTGAGTTGAGGTAACAGCTTACAAGAAAATGTGCCTGGATTTCAACACTTCCCAGGTTAGATGAATTTATTCCTCAAGGAATTTTCAGCCACTTTGAGCAAGTAGTTTTCCTACTGCATTCTCTGAATGGAGCCAACCCCTTTCTCTGATGTTGTATTTATTAAGTTAATGACTTCACCACCATATGAAGTGGGTAGAAATAAGACTCTACATAACTTCACATTTCTGAGCTGGCTATGAACTTGTGGAACAAAGCCACTGGGTAGAGGGTTCAAGGGAAATTTGATGTGGTTTGTTGTCCCTCAATCTATTTGCTTTGAGCCTCTTGTAACTGTTATAACTGGTTTTGATTCTCTGGTTGTCACCAATTTCTCCTTGATTTTAACAGACGTTGGCTTTGCTTCCTGTGATTTAACTTATTTTATCCAAATCCTTTACTCTGTATATATATTTTTAAAGGACTAGAATGTTTGTAAATAAAGGTTTTTATCTTGTCCAAAGCCAAATATGAGTAAAGCACTCGTCTTTATAAATATGCAACTAACAAAGAATACGAAATTTATGTTGGAAACCATTAGTAGATAGGAGAGAGAATCCAATAGGCTGGTACTAACAGGTCTTGGCTTTAAGGCCCAGCTTCACGGCCCTAAAAGCTAATAATGGCCAAGCTATGATACAAAATAATGTTGGTCGTAAAGGCATTTGAGAACTCCTAGTTGTGTCATATTGATGACGTTAGCCTCTCCATGGCTCGTAGGCTTTTTGGCTGCCTTGTTTTCTCCTTTTCCCTTAATTTTTAAAAGCAAATTAAGAAGTTTTTAAAATTGAATGAATCGGGCTCCCCTGGTGGCGCAGTGGTTGGGAGTCCACCTGACGATGCAGGGGACACGGGTTCGTGCCCCAGTCCGGGAGGATCCCACATGCCGCGGAGCGGCTGGGCCCGTGAGCCATGGCCGCTGGGCCTGTGCGTCTGGAGCCTGTGCTCCGCAACGGGAGAGGCCACAACGGTGAGAGGCCCGCGTACCGCAAAACAAACAAACAAATTGAATAAATCATTGAACAAACCATCACATCATTCTTCTGTTTGGGAGTAGCAATTTCTTCCATGCAATTAAGTGGGGTATAGTGCTCTGTATTGCCCCTTGACATTTAAAAAAATGAGTCTTTATTCAGGTTTTTTTTTCCCCTGTACTCTTATGTATTTTTTTTTAATTTTAATTTTTTTATATTGGAGTATAGTTGATTATTCAGGTTTTAAAACTAAGTTAATTTATCTCTTGCCTCCCTGACACCAGCCACGTCCCTTGTGGTACAGTGCTGCAAGGTCAACCACACTTTACGATTTATAAGCAGGTGTGTTATTAAGAGTATGCAATGTATGGCCCACAATTCTGTGGTTACACTTTTCTTCTCAGGCATTGACAACTACTATTAGGGCCTATGACCCCTTCTCTACTACGTTCCTCAAAGATTGTTCTAGCACCTGAATGGACCCGATGCCAGACTGTTGGTTTCTCTCCATTTCTCTCTGCTGGGCTCCACAGTAGCAGGAAGTCACCAAAAGAGCAGGCAGCTGCACAGACACTGAGTGTGAGAGGGACTGGATCCTCAATGGGTTCGGAATTTAATCCCTTCCATTTCAGTTGGAAGTTGACCCCTGGCCTCAGTGAGAAACTCCATCCTCAGTCATGAAGTTCTGTTTCTTAAACATGAACACTGACGTTAAGGCGCCAACAGACAATCTTGAGTTAAAGAAATCTTATAAAGAAGTACTACTGTGCTTTACTGAGCTCTAACACATCTACCAATTTATAGAAGCTATTTATCTAAAGCTGTAGAAAGATGAACACTGAAAGTTAAATGTCAACATTTCAGCCTGAACAGTTAGGTATCTTAAAAATCTCTGTATGAACCATACTGTCAATCTTGAATTGCATAAAAACTGTCAGGCTGAGTTTTTAAAAAAATTTAACAAAATGCAAATCAAAACTACAAGGAGGTATCACCGCACACCAGTGAGAATGGGCATCATCAGAAAATCTACAAATAACAAATGCTGGAGAGGGTGTGGAGAAAAGGGAACTCTCTTGCACTGTTGGTGGGAATGGAAGTTGATACAGCCACTATGGAGAACAGTATGGAGGTTCCTTAAAAAACTAAAAATAGAACTATCATACGAACCAGCAATCCCACTACTGGGCATATACCCAGAGAAAAGCATAATTCAAAAAGACACATGCACCACAATGTTCATTGCAGCACTATTTACAATAGCCAGGTCATGGAAGCAACCTAAATGCCCATCGACAGATGAATGGATAAAGAAGGTATGGTACATATATACAACGGAATATTACTCAGCCACAAAAAGGAACGAAATTGGGTCATTTGTAGAGACGTAGATGGATCTAGAGACTGTCATACAGAGTGAAGTAAGTCAGAAAGAGAAAAACAAATATCGTATGTTAATGCATATATGTGGAACCTAGAAGAATGGTACAGATGAACTGGTTTGCAGGGCAGAAATAGACAGAGATGTAGAGAACAAACATGGACACCAAAGGGGGAAAATCGTGGGGATGGTGGTGGTGGTGGGATGAATTGGGAGATTGGGATTGACATGTATACACTGATGTGTATAAAATGGATAACTAATAAGAACCTGCTGTATAAAAAAATAAATAAAATAAAATTCAAAAAAAATTTACCAAAAAAATAGCCATAGTAACTATGGAGTATTGCTAAAATTGCTTTTGAATCAATGTAAAACGTGATAGTAATCAGTTAAAGTAATAAGTGCTGTAATTTTCCAATAGTTATGAGGCTTGAGGAAAAACTGATTTAAAAGCAAAGTGAAAACTTGATTAAAATATCTAAAAAATGTTCTTCTACAGCACTGAAATTGTCCAAAGCTTCCTATCTGTGAGAAAGCATTGCCAACCCTGGTCTCTACCACTTGATGCCTATAGCTGAGACGTTTTTTAATTTAGGGGGAAAAAAAGGCAAGGCCAGTGCTCACTTTGGCAGCACATATACTAAAATTGGAGCAGTACAGAGAAGATTAGCATGGCCCCTGTGCAAGGATGACACGCAAATTCGTGAAGCGTTCCATATTTTTAGCAAATATGCTTTCACAGCATACCATGTATATATGTAAAGATAAGTATTTCATTCTTACTGTTCACTTTTCACTGACAAAGGAAAAAAAGTGAAAAGTACAGAAACTGTGGTAGATGCTGTTCTAGTCCTAGTTGTACCCACCTTTGGCCAGTCACATAGCTACTCAAGAAACCTTCCCAACAGAGTACAACAGGATGAGAATCTGAAATCACTTCCGATATCCCCTACTAGATACTGACTGTTATATCAAGTAGTAAGTGATAAAACATTTAATTGACAATGAGTATAACTGTGGATGACTTCTGATTTTGTTTTTAATTCTGTGGATTGTGTTTAAACAATTCCAATGTATGTTCCTGATTTTGAGATACTAAGTGGTATTGCACAGTTGTCACTTTATCGAATGTGGACAACAGTTCCATGAAGTTTATAATGCACACCCTTGTATAGCTACAGGTGCTAGAATTAAAATTGATCTGTTATCATAAGGAAAAAAAAAGGCAAGGCCAAAGATAACTTTGTGGACTTGGGCATATAGACATGTCTCTTTCTCAGCTAGCTTTGTAAAGGATGAAAGCCCTGAATTATTCCACTGTTGCCAGGGGTAATTGTAACTGATTAAAGCCATGATGCTTTCACCACTTCTCAGCATTGGGAAGGTACTTTCTGGGTCTGTGGATGAGCTACAGAAAGTTTATGATTATGTTAGAGTGTGTGCAGGTATACGCACACCATGAAGAGGTTTCAGGAATTCCTCACTAAAATGCAAATTGTAGATTCTTGTAAAAGTGGTACGTTTAATTAAAAAATACATTTCAGCTACTCTTCTAGATTCTTTTTCTTTTTTTAATTTTCTAATTTCAGGCCTATTTGAGTATCCTTCTAGGTTCTATTTCTCTGTTCTGGCCTGTGGCCTGTTCTTGTTTAAAGCATAATTGCCAACTGGATATTCACAACAAGGTCCCTGTTCTCTAAGAGCTCACAATCAATGGGGAAGAGGAGGCACCTTCATGGGCATTTAAATTCTAATACAAGATAGACTGAGTGTGTAAAGAAAGTGAAATGGGAGAACAAAGGAAAGACGATTTGAGTAGAGAATTTTGAAAGTATGTGGAAAGGACATTTCTGATGCTGAAGAGTAAAGCAATGCTGAAGTATTTGTCATATTGTGAAGGAGGATCTATTTGATGATAGAAGAAAATGTTTTAACTCTGTTCTTCCATGACATTATACATCTTAATATGTTTTTCTTTGTCAAAGAAAACAGCACTTGCAACTTTCTCCAGCCAACAGTCTAAGGAGAACGTGTATTGGTGACTCCTGTCTGAGAGAGAATTCAGATCAGCCCAGATTCTCCACTGAGATGTTATTCATAAGGTTATAAAAGTTTGCCAGAGGTGTGTCTATTTTCAATTTGCGTGGTGCTTTCTGCTTACCCCAAAGTGTTTGTGAACAGAAAGAAAGAGGGAGAGATCTGTGGCCTAATGAAGATAGAACTTTTAGGGCCAAGTGATTGGATATAGATGAACAGATGTAGGTGATCAGTGAGATGTGTCAAAGATGATTCCAAACTTCAAGTCTGGGAGAATCTTGGTACCATTAAAACAAACAAGGAGCTTACAAGGGGGAAACTGGCTTTGAAGGAAAGGGTGAATTTGGTTTTTCACTTGACTCAACAGCTCAAGTGGAAATAGGAAATAGGAAATAGGAAATAGGAAATCATCAGAGGGTATGTTACAGTAGTAACACAGTGGAGTGTGGGATGATTAATGCCTGTGCAAGACCTGAAGGCAGCATAACATCGTATGTTTCCAGGACTAAACATCTTGAAGGTGGAAGTAAAACAGAGGTAAGCGTCAATAAATATACCAAGTAGTAAGTCGTACTCTTAAGAGTGAGTTAGGGTATGTGTTGGAAACCACATGAAGTAGTTCGTGTTTTTTCCTTTTAGGGCAAGAATGGGCCATTGAAAGGTTTTAAGTAGGGTCCTGAGGAGGAGATTTGCTTATTAGAATGATGTGGAGGGTACCTTTTCTAGAAGCTGGACAGTGCCAGGACCAGGTGATGGACAGGCCTGGGGAGGCTCCCTCTGGCCTGTATTCTGCAGTCTATGGGCCTCTAATCCCCTTTTCCTTACCAAGGCCAGGATTAGGGGGAACAAGACAAAATTTGAGGGGGGGCCAACAAACCCAGTATTCAAGATTAATGCTACTTTAATGCAATAATTTTAAGATATTAAAATTAATGAAAAATCCACAATTAACAAAATATCAGAATTCTAAGTAAAGGCAAGTTCAGTAAGCTGAAGTTAATGCCACTTCCTCAGGAAAAATGATCAGGCACGGCAACTCTTGCAATTGGAAATAAAGTAAGCAAAGAAGTAGATTTTGAAAATACTATCAGTCAGTTTACTTCTATTAAAGCCAGGAAGGTAAAATTATGTTTTTGGTAAAAGCAAAATATTTAAACTTAAAGCAACGTTGTTAGTTTTAACACACCTAATTTTCAGATGTTCAATATTTCTTCAAGTACTTTAATGTTCTTGTAAAGTTTTTTTTAAATACATAAAAACTTGTATATAGGGGCACACGTTTTTCCTGGTGACTTAGGATCCTATCTGGCTCAGATACTGTATTTAATAAAATTTTTCATATTTTATTCACATATTTTTTGCCTTAATTCTGACTTTTGAAAACATTGCATTACTATTTATTTTGATTCCCATTTTTTTGGTGATCCTTAAATTTTGCGCTTTCGGCTCTTTCTCTACTTTTTCCGTTTTTTGTTTGTTTGTTTTTGTTGTTGTTGTTTTGTTTTTTTCTTCTTGTTTTTGGAGGCCCGAACCTTTCTAGTTTTTTCCAGAGGCGCAGCTAGCCTTTGTTTGGTCCACCCTGACGAGTCCCGGGCCGGGAACCTCTTCAAATAGTAATTTCATTTCGCTACAAACTTGCAAATAGGTTACCTGAACCACTTGGCGGCGTTGACTCATTCGCTTCCGCCCAGAAGGAAGCTCTCGGAACCACCGCGTTAAGGGGGCGTGCTTCCCGCGGCGCCGGCCGGCCTCATTTCTACGACGCAGCACCGGGATTTCCGTTCCTCCTTCTTCTCGCGAGTCTTGCGTCCCAGCAGCAACCGGAAATGAGTTCCTGCCTGGAAGCTGTCGGAGCCTGAGCTTCAGGTGAGGGAGGGAGAAGGGGCGGAAGGTTTTGCATAGGTCCTGGAGGCGGTACTGTGTCGGTGTGTGGACCTTGTCTTCTCCCTCGCGCAGAGGACTCCGTGGTTTCGTCGCCCCTCTCAATTCCTTTACGTTGTTGGTTGGGAGCGTCATCTTGGAGAAGGGGCGCCCGCACATCTCGGCGGTGAGGCGGCGAAGCCCAGGGATCTCCTTGGTCTTTGGTGACGGGGCTGGAGGCGGTAGTTTTTACGGCCACACGTTTCAGATTGAAGCCCCGTGCTAACATTTTAATACTTATTGAGCCCTTACTATGTCTTAGGAACTTTTAGGGGTATTGGGTGTAACAGTGAATAAGTCCGACAGAAGTCCCTGCCCGAAGGGAACTTGCATTTTAATAAAATTTGAGAAGACAGTGGAACGGAAATGGGGATAGAATCAGGATTTTTTGGTGTGGGTTGGAGGAGGAGGAAGTTAAGGGGGATCAGAGAGGCATGAAAGTGCGAGAGGGGCTTTCTGGGAGCAGAAGGGAGTCCTTCCCGTCCCCTGTGCAGGGCTGTTGATGCGATACGGTCTAAAGGTGGGTTGCGTAAAAGTCGTGGCTGCAGTTAGGCACTTAGGACTCAGTGAATTCATATTCTTGCTGTAGGACTTAATTGATCTCTTTTTTCTTCAGGAAAAGATTAAAGGTTAGATTGTAAGAAAAGGAAATAGAAGCCATGTTTCGAAGACCTGCAGTGCAGGTAATCACTTTTTCGTATTAGTGTTGGGATGTGTTACTATAAGCCATAGTGATCAAATTTCTTTAGGCTTTTGCCTGCAGAGGCAAAAGTCCTTTGAGCCCACACACCTTGGTGTACTTATTTGACATGAGGGCTGGGGACAGGTTTTACTTGGGTAAATAATGTTCACTAAAGCAAAACGAAACTTCTCTAGTGTGTTCACATATATAATGGGAATAATTACTTTTAAAAACATGTGCTACTTGCACGTAGATCAGTTAGAGAGCGTTGAAGGTCGTTGTTGATCTGCAGACTATGAGAACCGTTGTTCCAGCTTTTTTTTTTATTATTATCTTTAATAAGACAGGTGGTTTCTTTTCTGACCACGTGCCTCATGTGTTGTCAGCTGCCTCCCACCCCGCCCTGCCTCCTTGTGCTGAGGAGAGCAGGTGAGGTCTCAGCATCACCACACGTTTACCAGGTCCAGGATTGCTTCTCATGTCACCCAGTCAGACTCCTCCCCTGACCTCCTCAGTCAGCCTCGCCAGCCTTGAGCCAGCCTAGACCCCGTTTTGCTTGCTTAAGCTCATCTGGGCACCAAGTGCTATAGATTCTCCTTTAGAACCCCTCTCGCACTCATCTTGTGAAGATAAGGAAGAAGCAATTCCTCTGTGAAACCTGTTCCTATTTCCCCCGCTCTGCTGTAGAGTTGGCCCTATATTCTTGGATCCGTACTAACTTATACGTACTTTTGAAACGTATACTTTTTCATGTGTTGAAATGTGAAGCATGGAAAAGCTATTCCTGTCTTAATACACGATTCTACAGTGTTACGGTATCTTTAAAGCTGTGTATAAAAGAGTTAAATGTTTAATTTAAAAAAGTATCCCAGTTAAATTAATTCTTTCCCCATTTCTGCTCCTCCGGTAGGTCTTGAGTTTTGTGTGCCCCCAATGAGGCAGACTGTTGTCCCATGAAACTTAGGAGCTCTGGCTCATGTGAGCACTCAGATGAGCACCTTTCTGGAATCATGACACAGGTAGCAGTTAGCAGTCTGATCTTTAATATGTTGTAACTCACATTTTTATTTTCGTACCCACTCTCTGCTCCCAAACATAGCGCCAGGATTCCATAGCCAGAAGTACCACCCCTGGAGTGGGTATTGTTTTAATTGGTCGCTTATTAACAGTGCCACCACTTGACACGTGTTTCTCTGATGTAATGGTTAGGTCTCTGAACCCAGTGATGTTCCCAGTGATGTGTCCTCATATCTTTGCAGTAGCCCTTACACAGAATGTCCTTAAAGAGGCAGCAGAGGGCAGTGGGAAAAGCAGCAGCCTTGGGGTCAGACGGCCCTGGGATCTCGGCGTGACTTGCCACTTACTTCCTGTAGGATTTTAGGCAAGTTACTCTGTCTCTTTGAACTTCATTTTTCTCTTCTATAAAGTGGTGGTAATTTTACATAGTTTATAGATTTAGTCTGAGGAATAATTGATGAGAGGTAAAGCAGTTAGCGGGTACTCAGCAATGATAGCTGTTGTTATCGAGTGCTGCTGTTACATGGCAGTGATTCCCTTTGTCTGACAGACCGATTTGGGCAGGCATATCTTTGCACTTTATCAAAGAGTCATGTTTGTTTATCTTAGACTTTTTTTTTGGTCTGTCAAAAGCATGACTTTTTCCAACATGTATTTATTTACCTTTTGTGTACAAACACAGAGGCACCGTAATCAGGAAGATTGCCACCAAAGAAGCGGGAGAGGACTGTAAATGAACTCTCTTGGGTATACTGTGTAGTACCTCCTGTGTGCCTGTGGGCTTCTGCAGTAGGCTTAAGTGTTCGCATAGTCCTCCTGGCTCTGTGTGATGGGCACACCTCTTGTCTTGGGTGGATGTGTGCCATAGGAGCTGCTGACTAGATGGTGACCACGTGTGACTGGGTCTTCTGTTGGTATTTGCCTTTCCCCCCGGATTAAAGCTGTTTTACTTATTTGTTCCACTTTAGGTCCTTCATCAGTTTGTGAGACATGAGTCTGAAATAGCTGGCAGTTTGGTTCTCGAAAGATGTAAGTAGCAGCTGATTTCCAAGTTTAAAGCGTGTTATTTATAGCAGTATGCTAATATTCTCAGTGTTGCACAAGAGGTGTATTCGTTGGGTTATAATCTATTAATCGTCACGCTCTTGACTCACATTTGCCTCTCAGATCTTGGCCTTGCCCCATCAGGCTGCAGGGCTCCTGTAAATTGGGCCCTTCTTCCTTTACCAGTCAGTTTTTACTCACTCTTGTCACTTTCCTGCCAAAGAATTTCCTTGAGTCCTATTTGGTTATCTAAGTCTTCCAAGGGTATGTGGTATTTGGCTGAAGAAGTGAATGTTTGTGAAAGCTGTTGTTTCACAGAAATAGTCCCTTGTGTTTATAAAGATATTCAGATTTGTTCTTTTAACTCTACAGACAGTTTAAAGAAGTTTCTTTAGGTATTTAAAAGAAGAATTTAGATAAAGAGCTTAACGTTTGTTTTGTGGGGCTACTTCCTCTGAATATTTTCTCCTTTCTTGCCAATCCTTTTTCCCTCCCAACCTCTGTCTATTTTCCCCTTCAACTTACTTTCAAACCTTCTAGAACTTGGGTTTTGCTTAATGCCAAGACTGAAGTTGGAGTAGTGTTTGTAGCTGTTCCTCCCTAGACATTTCTCTCAGTCTCGTTTTATCTACACATTGCCTTTCAGCTCTGAATCGTGTGCAGTTACTTGGTCGAGTAGGTCAGGACCCTGTCATGAGACAGGTAGAAGGAAAAAACCCAGTCACAATATTTTCTCTAGCAACAAATGAGATGTGGCGATCAGGGGAAAATGAAACACACCAAATAGGTGAGTACAAAAGCCCGGGCTCTTAATTTTATCAGCAGTAAATAGGTATTATTTATTGTGAATTACCTAATTAGATACTTTTAGAAAAGACCTTCTCTAATTCTGTTCTGCTCTTTTAGAAATCGTGGATTGGTTTTGCTGGGACATGTTGTCCTTTGGCACTTGTCTTTTGCATTTGTAACCACATTCCCTATTGTGATTTAGGTGATGTCAGTCAAAAGACAACGTGGCACAGAATTTCAGTATTCCGACCAGGCCTGAGAGATGTGGCATATCAGTATGTGAAAAAGGGGTAAGTTGAGGAAGGAAGGATCTTACAGATTGAATGGTTTAAAACAGGGGTCCCCAACCTCCAGGCCACGGACCGGTCCTGGTCCACGGCCTGTTAGGCCCTGGGCCACACAGCGGGAGGTGAGCGGTGGGCGAGCAGCGAAGCTTCACCTGCCGCTGCCCATGGCCCGCGTTACCGCCCGAGCCACCCCCCCACCCCCCCCCCCCCCCCCCGTCCAGGGAAAAATTGTCTCCACGAAACCGGTCCCTGGTGCCAGAAAGGTTGGGGACCACTGGTTTAAGAAACTGGTAACGTGTTCTTATGGACTGCGTAGCTCCTTTATTTATGTAGTACCACTAATTACTCTGTGTTAACCCAAGAGGTATTCATGCAATGCTTAATACTATAAACATAGCGCATTGCCATGTGTGACTAATTTAAAGGTTTTAACATGGTTTAGCCTTTTAAGAACTTATACTTTAGGGCAAAGAGGATGTGTACTTAAATGGAGCTGATGAGGTAAGAGAGAAGGCAAAGGGTACCGAGTACCATGTGAGCAAGTGTCTCCATGGCCAGCGATCCTGAAGGCAGATGTCTTGCCTCTTGGCATCACACGATGGCCTAACAGAGGGTCTGGAATGTCGGAAGCCTGACCCAGTGAGGTATTACGGTAATATTCACAGCAGTTATTTCATATCTGATAATTTTATGTAAACTTAGTAGTTCCCTTTTGGAATGCTTGGATTGATTATGTATAAAAAGTATCTTTTCCAAACCCACAGAAGGACAAGAGGATGTGTTTAACAGCAGTTGTAGTCATAGTATGTTTAGAAATGTACTTGTTTTATAGAAATAAAACATTTCATGTAAAATAATTTCAGCAGTAACTAAAATTTCTGTTTTTTTAAAATAAGTGCATACCTTTTCTTCATATATACCTCCGTTGTCATGTCTGTATGATATGTGCATATATACACATATAAACACAGGAAATTTCAAGGAAAATGTCTATATGC